AAAGATATTAAAAAATTGTTTATTTTAACTAATAATTCTTCTTCTCCGTTTTATGGCGATTTCCAGGTTTACCCGGGTAGGCCAGTTTTCCCTCTGATTTTTCTTTTCCATTTTTGACGGTCCTGAGATTTGTAAGATTCGTGTTTCTCATATCCGGCGCTATCACATTTGTCCACGTCATCTTGGGTCTTCCTCTAGGTCTTGATCCTCCTACTTCCATCATTGTGCATCTCTTTACTCAGTCATCTTTTGTCATACGTTCCACATGCTCAAACCATCTTAGTCTATTTCGTCGCATTACCATTCCAATCATTTCTATACCCAATCTTGCTCGCAATTCCTTGCTAGTTTTTCCCTCTCTCAGAGATACCCCACACATCCATCAAATCACCCTCATCTCTGTTCTTTCTAATTTGGCTTCGTGAGTCGCTCTCATTGCCCATGTTTCGCCGCCATAAACTAAACAACTCCTCACACAGCTTACGTAAACTTTCCCCTTTAACTTCAGAGACTTTTTTATTTGTAAGAATAGACGACATCTCTCTGAACTTCTTCCAAGCTTGTCTGATCCTTGCAACAACGGCGGAATCTACACCACCATCTGCGTTTAGCATATCACCTAAATAACAAAACTTATCCACTTTTTCTAGGGTTAACCCATTGCCAATATCCAGACGACCATTTTCTAGGTTATCATTATTATGTATCCCTTTCATGCATGTTCTACAAATATAGGTCATTCTTTCTAACATCAAACTTCCTTTTTTCCCGCTACATCTATTATGTATCCATTTCTGGCATCTGGTGCATTGGATAGAATTTCTAGCAACTCCTTTCCCACATACACCACAAGGCCACTTACCGGATTCCTCCATCTTTAGATTTTCCCCACCAATCATCACCTTTGTCTTTGATGCATTCATTTTCAGGCCCATTGCTTCCATAGTCATCTTCCATTTACTAATTTTATCCCTCTATTCTTCATCACTGTTTGCCATTAATACAAGGTCATCTGCATATAATAGCTCCCAAGGATATCCTTCACTCTTTTCTCTAGCCACCACATCCATTACTAAGATAAATAATAATGGACTCAGCACGGATCCTTGATGAAGTCCTACCTTCACCTCAAAGCTGTCACTATCACCATAATCCGTCCGTACTGCTGTTTGTGCTCCAACATACAGTGCAATCACTGCGATAACCAACCATTCCTTCACACCTGATTTTCTCAAGGCCCATCTAGTAACCTCACGCGGCACCCTATCAAATGCTTTCTCCAAACCAACAAACGCATATAAGAGTTTCTTTTCCTTCGCAAGATACTTATGCATTTGTCTCACCACAAAAATTGCATATGTCGTGCCTTTTCCCGATGTAAAACCAAACTGCATTTCATCAATTTTAATTTTTTCTCTTATCCGCTTCTCTAACACTCTCACAAATACTTTCATTTCATGTTCCAAGAATTTAATAGCTCTTTAAGACCCGCTATCTAAAGGATCACCTTTCCCCTTGTATACTGGGATAATTATACTTCTTCGCCAGTCCTCGGGAATAATACCTTCTATGACAATTTGATTGGCTAAATTCATTAACCATTCAATCCCTAAATCATCACAACCTTTAAACATCTCTGATACCACCATCGTTAAACCCTATGCCTTCCCTTTCTTCATCTTTTTCACTGCTCTCTTTATCTCGTCCTTGCCAAATTTACACCCTGGACCTTCAACCTTTGCACAACTAACATTATTATCCCATTTATTTTCTTCATTCAAAAGTCCTTTCATGTAAATATTCCAGGTGTTCTTAATACCACTACTATCAATTACCATTTTTCCTTCGATATTTTTCAAACACTACACCTATCACTTCCTGCCTCTTTTTTGACATCTGCTTTGCCATTCGAACCATATTTCTAATTCCATCAGCGCATTCCATTTCTTTAGCAAACTCGTGTATTTCATCTTCTTGAACCTTCGCTATTAATTTCTTAGCATTTCTTTTAGCCATCTTGTAAATATCGTTATCACTATTTTCTTTGCTATTATACTATACTTTGAAACACCTCCGTTTCTCATCCACAGCTTTCGCTACCTCCGGGTTCCACCACGAAGTCTCCTTATGTCTAGGCGGCCCTTATGTCCATTCACATACCTCCTCAGTTGTCATCACCCAGGCTTTCTTCATGGCTTCCCACTTGTCATTTACCCCAGATGCTTGTGCCACCTCCGCTTCCCTAATCGCCAATGTCATATTGATTTGACGTCTAGCACTCTCCTTCAATTTCCAAACCTTCAGCTTTGGCACAAACTTTCTTTTAGTGACCTTGGCACCTTTAAGAGTGAGATCTCATACAACTAGTCGATGCTGATTTATACATTCCTCTCCCGGTATCACTTTCACATTTTTTAATATACATCGATCACATCTCCTTAATAACAAGTAATCCGCTGCACTTTTGGTACTACTTGACTTATAAGTCACCAGCTTCTCTGATTCTTTCTTAAACATTGTGTTCTCTCGCTCTTCCCGTCATACTCCCAACATTCCATGTAGGGACCCTAACTCGATCCCCCTTAAACTGGTTTCTTTACTTATTATCAGTCGTTTATGGCCGTCATAAGTTTCATTTTCATGAATCGTGGTTCCACCAGGTTTCCTATCCTTCTTTTTGTAGTAGGCAGATGAGGAGACCCACGGGGTACTTTTGGCTGTACCCCGCCCATGCTTTGTTGTAACCATAGGGAAATTTTGTAGCAAAGTTTTTACAATCGGATGCACTTCCTGACATCAACCTCTTTAAGTGGTTTTTACACCCCGTCGAGGAAACGGTGATCCTATTCTCGACCCAGATCACAGGTACCTTTTAGACCTCCATTAGCCGCCAAAAGACGTTGCCACTCCCCCCCACGATTAGGCTGAAGGTAGGCAGTAATAATAATTTTTATCCAAACTAATAAATAAAAAAATAAATAATTTAAACTATAAATGTTGTATTCCATAATAAATCAACCAAAAAAAAGAAAAAGATATTTCAACCCTACCACCTTCGATTTTTAAAAAAATTTTGGATGTAAAATTTTACTTTTCAAATCGGCTTACTTCTTGGGATATGGTCATCTTTATAAGCGAAAAATTCAAAAATACACTATATTTAATTTTAATTATCTCAAAAAGAAATTAAGCTAAAAATATCATTTAAATTATGTTAAATAACTCTAAAATTGCCTTTTAATATGTTATAAAGTTTACTTTATTGAAAATAAGTCCATTACCAAGAACCAGAAATGGCTATAAAATAAAAATTGTTCTTTCAAATTTTTTGCAGATAGACATTATACTTCATAATTGTACAAATTGACTGGGCCAAGAGTTATTGCACTTTAAATATATAGTATGGCTTAAATCCTATATTATACCAAATATATAGTAGTTTTTTTTAAAAAAAAAGAGGGCAATATTATGTGAATAATATCATTAAAACTATCCGATTATTTTGCGTTTTAATTCATTAAATCCTTGCAAAAATTAAAAAATATATCAATTTAAAAGTAATGATCATATTTGAAAATTTAGGCCGGGGCCCTTAACTCTTTATAAAATATTAGGCTCGACCCAGCCCGAACTTAAATTATATTTAAAAAATAGACCTAGACCTGGCCGTGTTTTACAAATCTCTAATAGGAATACAATTTTTTTATGCTATCCTCTCCTTGCTAATTAGAAGAGTTTTTAAAAGATACTTTTAAAATGGATCCCGATACATCGTCAACAATTGGATTTACATCTATTGATACAAAAATATCCCCCATTTGAGCTAATTTTTAAAATTGGCTTACAAAATATTTTCACCTGAAAAATATTACCTAATTAATCCTCGAGATTTCGCGAATAAATGTCAAAATTTTACTTGCCGTGAGTAAAATCTTTAGTCTTGCATAATATTTTTCTATATAAAATAATTAGTTACCCGTTTTTAAAATCACTAGATACATCTTTTAAAAACGTATCTAGATACAGATGCATTTTACAAATGTATCTCGATACAGAAAATGAGCTAAAAAATTTATTAAGCTTATATCACATCTATATACAAATATAATATATAATTAAAATAATGATTGTTAGATTTTAATAATTCATATACAAAATATATAATCCAAAAAAATAGCCTCAGATTCCTAATTTTATTTCTAAAAATACGAAAATAAAATTATTTTTTAATTTAAGGTAATTATGAAATATTCCTCTTCTAGTTCATAACTCGAGTTGTGAACTCAGTTAGTCGATTAAATTGACTATCGACTCTGAGTCGGAGTTGAATGAACATTTAACAACACTAGTGTTTATTATATTTGAGCATAATTCATCTGATTCTGAATTTCCAGAATTAGATGATAATAGTTAAATAACATCATCTATGCTCACTATTATATAAATAATATTCAAATTAGTAAACTATACTATAGGTCAGAAATAGTGGCTGGTTAAAATATACAAATGTGATTAAGGAAACAGCTGATTAACCCTTTTTTAAAATTTGGATTAATATTAAATAAATATTTGTTATATTCAAATGAATAAAAATGAGGGGATTTTCTAAAATTGAACGAACGTAATAAAACGAACGGAAATGTCAAATAAAAGGAACGCGTTCAAAATTCGTCAAAAATAAAAGAAGCGTCATTCAACATTTTTAAAAAACGAAATTCATTCATTTGAATGTTTTCGTTTACAGTATCAATTTTTTTTATAACGTCTAAGATAAATTTGCACAATAAGTTGACCAGGCCTTGTATATATTTTTTTTAAAATGCGTATTCATTTTATTTATAACGTAAAAATTTATAAAAATTATAAAGTTTGTTTATAAGATGTAAATCATTATGATTCATTATTAATAAAAAATCTAAGGCAAACCTTTCAGGAACTCTCTAGCATAAAACCCTTTTAAAGATATTATACATTATTAAATAATTTAAAAATAAAATAAGATATTTCCAACAAGCTACGGAGATGAAATACATCAAGAAAGGAATGGAAGCAGTTAGCAATACTCCTTTAATATTGACCGTCGAACTTAATTATTTGGAAGGAATATTGGTTTTTAATCTTCCAAATCCACCTTCTGATAGATTATGGTTGATCTTTTTGTTTATTTGATTTTTGAAGAATGGGCATTTTTATCATAATACTTAGGAGAAAATCTTATATGAGCATAAATTTTTTTAATTATATCAATTTATCATTTCTTGAATTATCTCATTCGTAAACCGAAAAAAGATTATAAGTGAACAAAGGAAATTATATAATTTTAAAATACTTTATATCATCTGAGGTACGGTTTCAAACCTAAGCCAGAAATGAAAATATCGGCCAAGCCTAAACTTGGAGCAAAATACCTCAATATTAGCCAAATCATTGAATGGATCCAAAATACTCTACTCTCTGAATTTGAAGTTAGAATCGATTCTTAATTTTATCTTTCCCTTCCTTTATATTCAATATATAATAAACCTTTTAAATTCTTAGAAAGTCTTGGTACTTCCTAACATGGATGATATCGTTATACCTATCATGAAATCGGGACAAATTATATGATTTTATTTATAATTTGCATCATTCAAAAATAACTAGACAATATCAAAAAATCTAATTTTATTTAAAATTTTAAAATTATAGTTTACTTAGCATTTTATTAATTTTATAATCAATATATTATTATATTTTACCACCCTAATTGTACATATACACCAGCTACCTATCACTAATATAATATATTTTCAGTAAAACTAATACTAGAAGCTATTATTTAAAAAATAATTTTTATTATATTTATATAATGATTTAATATTGTTTAGTGAACTAATATTAAAATTAATAAAAAAAACTGATATATTGATTTGTGGTATTGATTAAAAATATTGGCAAATATCTTATACATAAATTGTGAGATTTTATGAGGACTAGACCAGAGTTCAGAAATGATGACACTAGACAAATGTGCGTGTAGGACAAAATTCGGGTATTATTAGGGATGATAGAATTTTCTTAATATAACTTTGTAAGAAATTATCATAAAATAATTTTGTAGGAAATTATCTAAAAATAATTTTGAATAATTATATTAATTGTTTAACTAAACCGTGACATCGAAAAACCCCCATTTAAATTAATAACCATTAAAATTGGCAAATATGAGAATCCAAGAAACCGATTTGCAATTTTGAGAAGGTTTATTTTAATATATTGAAGTTATAATTTATTAGAAAAGGAATGTCTAATATTATTAATAGAACTGCTAATATTAGATAAAGAATAGATAAATAATTTCTAATATTTTTATATTATAGGTAAAAGTTAATAGTAGATAAAGAATCTCTATTTTTGATTCAATAAAAAGATTTAATAATTTTTTCATATAGAGCCACGACTCAATAATTAGTGTCTTAAATTTTAACCGAACTTAAATGTATATTCCAGAAACCAGCAGACCCAGGTACACGGATCGAGCCATAAAATTTTTTTAAAATAAACCCGGGCTGGGGGCCTAAATATATTCAATATATCACATTCATTACTTATCATGAAAATGTTTGTTAAAAATAAATAGTTAAATTAATGATAAATATATTTATATTTATATTTATATTGAATTAAAATTAAAATAATTTTGTACCTTTATCTCTGCTCTTTTTGTATTAAATAAAAAATAATCTATCATTTTTAAATAAAGAAGATAATTTGAAGTTATTTATACGAATTTTATATTGCCTGAAAAATGATCCGTAAAATGCAAATAGGTATATTTTTTTTAAAAAAACCATGGCCGTAGAAAATATTTATACACTCGGGCCTAAAATTTAAAAAAAAAAATCCATGCTGGGTTTAAAGATTTTTTAAAAAAAATTCAGACCAGGCATGAACTAAAAAAAGGTCGGGCCAAAATTTCTTTTATTCTGGGCCTGCCGAAAATTTTTTTTTTAAATCCGGCCGTGCAAATGGTAGCTCTACAGGTCTCTGGTACATTCCCTTTAAGTCTCTTTTTATCTAGTTTATGTATCTAACTTAAGCGCTCTCTTTCTTATCGTATCAGTGTCCATTATAAATTATCCCTTATTTTATAATTATCAGTTTTACCAAATTAAAAATTTTATTTGATTATTTTTTAGAGTTGTTAAATGCATGCAATCTAAGTTTTAAATAGGTACTTATTTTTGATTGGTGCTTATTATTTTATATTGAAAAAATAAAATCAACAATGACAAATTAAATCTTTTTTAATATAAACTAATCTAGACCCATATCTCTCTAACCATTTAATCCTATCCACTTTCCTAAGCTAACATTCTGAAAAGATTATACCTGACGGCGGATTAAACCTACATCCTTTATATAGAAAACTAGATGACAACTAAATTTCAAACCTTATTGAAAAATATGATTTAAATTTTTATATATTATGAACAATTTAAAAATCTTTGCGATAATAAAGTTATGCAAGTGTATTAGAAGTGCTTATATAACATAATTATGTAAAAAATAGTTTATTATCCAATCAAAAATTAGCAAATTTTAGATAGATACATGCTGTAAGCTTAAAAAGGAAAATAAATATTAACTTACAATTCACTAAATTTTATTAATTATGATATAAATTCTTGAATGTAAAAAATAAACATTATTTTATTACAATGATTAGATGTAATGTAATTCAAAAAAATCAGATTATTTTGGATTGATTCAAAGTACATGAACATTAACACATGAATTAAACGATTACTCCAGCCATCTTATTTTTCGAGAAAGGTAGGAATGTGTTAAGAGTGATATTTACCAACTTAGAAATAGAAGATTGATTGTGATATAATGATAGGAATAGATGTGGAAGAATTAGCTATCAATCGTTACAGATTTTATGATCGAACAACAATACGTTGCCATATTTGGATTTAATACATCGAGGCCCCTCCTTAGTTGTTTGCTTGATCTAAGGGGATTGGTAGAAAACGTTAGTTTATTTATAGTGTTTAGTAGGAGTTAGGTTCGAAACCAAAGATGCTAAATTATTATCTGAAAGGCTAAGAGTAGGATTATTGACCTTTTAAAATATATAATGACACCCCCCCCCCCCCCCCAGTTAATATGATTAAAGATTTGCCAAAATTTTCTAAATTGGAAACCTTTAGTTAACCATAAATTTCCAGTGAAATTCGTTTAGGTAAAAACCTTCCTGAGGATCGCCTGAAATTAAGCGCATTTTTTGGCCGAGTGCCTTGAAAAAATCCTTTGCTCTGGGTCCAAAAGCATCGATTATGTCAGAAACAATAGGGGTTAGAGTAATATTAAAAATGCTAATGTATTCATTAATTTTTCTAATTTCCGCTCTAACTAAGTAATTAGAGCTAAAGGATGGTGCAAACTGATCAACATATGTATAATTCCAGGCTACAAGATTCCCCTGCTCCATGGAATAAGTGTCATTCCGTCAGGCCACCTGTTCCAAAGTTGAGGGAATATTAGCTGAGCGGAGAGTTCTAGCAAATTAAATTTATTGCTTGGTGGCGTGGAAAAGGATGATGACCTAGACTGTTGACAGAGAGCTGATATAGTTCAAGATGAGGGTGTGACGATATCACAGCATAAAAGAAGACCTATTCCTATCCGAAGTTCTTCTTTGGAAAAAAGCAAACCGAGGTTGGAGCTAAGGATAGCCTCAAGCCATTCATAGCCTGTGTTGAAATGTTGAATTCATGATAGAGAATTACTACGTTGATTTATTAACGGGAAGGAATCAACACTTTGATTTAAAGGGGAAGGGCAACACTATATAAATACTTAGGCAAAAATTTTATATTTATACGATTCATGTTTTTTATAAACAAGTTTTAAAAATTAATTTACTGATATATTTAATAATAAAGTTATATAAATTAATAATATATTTCATTCAACCTATTATGATAGTTTAAATCTTTTAATATAATTATATTTAAAATAATTTAAATGTAAAAATACAACTATAATATTCAATCCATAAGTTGGAGTATTTTTATTTAAAAAATTTTTTAATTATTTTTTAGTTTTAAACATTATATTAAAATTATTACTTTAAAATAATTGAGTCTATAAAATGAATTTAACAATTTTAAGAATTTACAATAAATATCTTATTTTAAAAAATTTCATTTATGTTTTAATTTTCAATTTTGCAATATCAAAAAAAAATATATTTATATTTCATCAAAAAAAAAAGAGTAATATATTCTATTTCAAAAAAAAAGAATAAGTGATATTTTAACATTTTTTTTTCCGTCACGTCAATTATTTCTATAAATTAAATTAATCTAATTAAATAATACTAATTAAATAATACTAATATAATTCAACAAATACAACATGCCCCTTTTTTTTATGAAATAATTTGATATAAAAAAACATTTAAAAAAAGAATTTTGATTGCCAAAGAGAAATAAAAATTGTGTGAAATTTAAAAAATAAAAATATAAGGAAAAAAAATAAAAAATTGTTATGCATAGGGTGAAAAAAAGGAAAAAGAATGGTTAAAAATGACAAGAGAATTGAAGAAAAATGATATGGGAAATAAATTATATTTAAAAAAACAAAAAAGAATGATCAAAAATGAGATGAAAAAAAATTGAGAAAAGATTAAGAAAAATAAAGACTAAAAAAGTTAGAAAATATACAGGGTAAAATAAAACTTAAAATTTAAGAAAACTGACAAGAAAAAAAATTTTTATATTAATTTTTTTAAATATTTAAAAATTAACGATTTTCCTTTTTTGATTGACACTTTTCCTCTTTTGATCGGACCTTTTCCTATTTTGTTTGATATTATAAAGGACCTTTTCCTAAGAATCTGGCACTTTTCCTTTTTGATAGGTATTTTTCCTTTTTTTGATGAATCTTTTCCTCTTTTGATCGGATCTTAGCCTTATATGATTGATACTCCATGTTGTAAAAAAAAATTGAACTATTCCTTAGAAAAATAACAAAATAAAATATACAAAAAAATTAGTCAAAAAATTATATTAGGGGGTTTCCCATTCAACCAAGGAAAAGTCCCAATCAAAAAAGGAAAAGTGTTAATCATAAAAGGAAGGTCCGATCAAAAGGAAAAGTCAGAAAAACTTAGGAAAAGTCCGATCAAAAAAGGAAAAGTGTCAAACAAAAGAGGAAAAGGTCGAATTATAATTGGAAATGGATGCAATCAAAAAAGGAAACGTCTCAAAAGAAAAAGAAAATTGTAAACCAAAAAAGAAAAATTCCCATTTAAAAAATAAAAAAACAAAGGAGGTTCACGTTCACGCAAAAAAATAAATCAAGAGCAGGAAGAATATATATATTAAATTGTTTATATTTAGGTAGCACTAACCTTAAAAAGTGTGAAATGATTAAAGAAAGATATGTTGTAGAAATGTAAAAAAACGGTATCAAGGTTATTATCAGGATTTAGGGATAGTTTAAAAAAAGTATCACTACGCTCAGTAGAGAAGAATCAAATTTGGAGATTCGCATAGAATACGCGAATTTATTTGTGGAATACGCCTATATGAAATAAAAATATATCTTTATCGATGAGAGCGGATTTCAATATCGATGAGGCGGTTATATGGACGTACACAAATAAATAAAATGTGCCAGAGAATAAATGGAGGGGGTTGCAGAAAAATAATTTAAATTGCAAAGAGTTAGAAATAAAATAAGAACACACCTACCATGCCATTAATAGGATGAGGGGACACATCTAGGTTCACCCATAGGGGGAAAAAAAGCTATCGAAACTTTTTTAA